CCATGCCTGGCAGAAGATGAGGTGCAGAGGCGAGAGGTGGGCAAGCAGAAGAGGCACTCAGCCAGACGCACAAGCTGCGTGCAAAGAAACTCCCGCCGCCCCAAGCTTCAGGGCTGCCTCATTAAAGGAGTGTGGAGGCCAGACTCGCAAATGAGAAAAAGCAAGCTCAGGGTTCGTGGGTCACTTTTTGGGCTGTGGAAGAGGAACCGGCTCCATTCCTGGAGTTCTCTCGAGTTCCTGCACTTTTGGTTTTGCTTTTTGCCAATCTGCCTCCCAAGACTGCTCCAGGTGCTCTGGCCTGAGGGCTGCTGGGGGCGGGGCTCGAGTGCTCAATGTCTCCAGCTGCTCTGCCACCTTCCCTTCCCTTGGTTTTGCTTGGGGAACCCGAGCAAGCCGGCTGCTGCAGGGAAGGACAGGCGGTTTAAACCACCTTCCCTTCCCTTGGCTTGCTCAGGATCCCCGCGGCTGCAGAGCCCAAGCAAGCCGGCTGCTGGAGGGATGTGCGTTCAGTTGGTCTGAACCGAATGTACCCCCGAAAATGGCCCATTCAGGTTGCTGTGGGCCGATTCAGATTCTCTGTTCTGAATCGGCCTCCCGCAGTTCGGCCCCATTATATCCTATGGGCCATTGAAGTCAATGGCGAAAACATAGGGTATATTCTGGGGGCTGGAGGGGAGGGGGTTTGAGGGAGAGGCTCCAAAATCGTAGGGTAGCTGCTGGAGCCTCTCCCCAAGATACCCGACATGTTTCAGGAACATTAAACCAGGGGGTCAAATTCTACGGGCCGCAAACAGGTTGCCCCCTTCCCCTCCTCAACAGTTTTGTATGATAGGTCAGCATTATTCTGCACATATTGCAGACTGGGTTTTGCTATCAAAATCTGAACAGTTTGGTCTCCCAGCTGTTTTGCTAATTAGCACAGAATGGGCATATGACAGAGGCATATATGTGGATTGTGTCATAGAGCTTGTACAGGTAAATATGAACCCAAGAATTATGAGAATAGGTCCCCTAAATCATTTCAACTAGTTCAGCAGCACAAGAAATGGGTGGTAATATTTTTTTTAATAAACAGTATCACAATTACATGTTCTCCTAAGGACATATGGTATATGGTATCTACATGCATTGACTTTTCCTAAGCTTTGCACCTCTTATATATTACTGTTCATATAAGTTGTGAGTTTATTTTTGTTATATTGTTGTTGCGTACTCTGTTATTCTTGATTGAATTACTGTTTTATTATTGTTGTTGAAAATAAAATAAAAATTATTTTAAAAAACTAGTTCAGCAGAATGTACAGCAAGATGGAAAAGTAGCATTTGTAGAGGTTAAAATTAGTTTTGTATCTTTACAGTAGGACATGGACACACAAAGAACAAAATCCAGGAAATGCTGCTCTGGAATTTTTTCATAACACATACATGTGAACCTCTAAATTCCTCCCATTTAAAGTATTAATAATTTAGATTCATGACTTTGAAACAAAAAAGTGTCTGTGTGTGTGTGTTAATTTTTTCTGTGTGTAGACATCTGTACCATTTTAATTACTGTATTCTCATTTAGAAAATGGATTACTAATAAGCATGATACCATGCTTTTGCGGTGCCATTCTGAGCAGACTTACATTGTAAGGATGGCACTGTTGATGTTGCAAAATTTAAAATGTGCAGTGTTTATCATATTTCAGCATAGCACCCAGTTTAGTCCCTGCTAAACACTCTTCAAATTTTGCATCCATTTCCTTGCTCTGAGCTTCAGTGAACAATGTCTTCCAGTCACCCACTGCACCTGTGTAGGAACAAAGACAAATTATTTAAAATATCTATGGCTTCACATGTAGAAGTTCAGAGGGCAGAGACATAATTCTGGACTGTAAAAACAAGTGACTTGATTGTTCCAATTTACTCAGAATACTTGTCGTCTGTATCTTTATGAACACACAGGCTTCTTTTCCATTCAAGATGAAGAGATAAATTTCAGTTACAGATGTAAGCATCTTCTTCGATCAGCATCCAAATGTGTTAGAGATGATGGTTCAAGTGATTTAGGATTTTCTGCTTTGTTTATTCTGGATGAGGTTCTCTCTCTATTTATATTTATCTAGCACATTTTTATTCCACTCTTCCTTCAGGGAGCTCAGGGTAGCATTCACTGTTCTCCTGTCCTCACATTATCCTTATAACAATCATGTGAATGAGTTTCCTGGCAGAGTGGGGATTAGAACCCAGGTCTGCTATATTCTAGTTCAACATACTAGCCACTACACCATACTCGACTGCAGTACTCATGAAGGATCCAGTGCACAGAGGGCTGCTAATTAACGATAAAATACTGTCCTAGCCTGCTTATTAGCTTTGGGGCCCATTGCAATAGGGAAAACCCTTTTCTATTCCCTTAACTAGGTTTTTGCTTCAATTGCATGCCTTGGTTGATAAGACAGCTTTTCTACTGGGCTCCTTTCCAAACCACTCAGCTCCTCCTCTGGATCCACCCAAAATTGCTCAGTTTGGACCCTGGTTCCATCTCGGACTTACTCCATACTCTGCCCATGGACTCCAAAAGGGCTGTTGCAAGGCCTCAGCCAGGTACCAGAATTTTTGAATTGGCAATACTAGATGGAAAGCATAATGATGGACCCAGCTCAAAGGTTCATTTTCCCCCACTGTAGATGATGTGGCAGCTATGGATGGTCCTAAAGAATGACGACCTGACCAGTGAACAGACTACTGTTAATATGCTGTCCATAGAATGTATTTAAAGACAGTTCAGAAACTGCAGTTGACATGTCGCTTCTACATGCAATATAGCAAAACCACATGAGTGGAGATTTTTACACATTCCTGGGAACAACAACAGATACAGTCACAGTTATGGAAACATTCTCAAACATTCTCAAAACATTCTCAACCTACATTCTCAAACTGCTGTATTTTATTCCAGCAGTAAAATATCTCTCTTCAGGACTGACACATTCATGAGTAAGTACTATTATTTGCTCTGATGCATCCACAGTTGCCATCATGTTAGTGCTTTATAGGGATAGGCACGAACTGGCTCATGAACTAAAGTTCATGATGAATTTTGGACAATTTGTGATTCGCAAAGTGATGTTTGTGAACTGAAGAGCCACCACAAGTTTCCACAAATTTTAACGCAATTTGTGGTGGTTCGTGGTAGTTTGTGAAGAGCAGAAAGCAGGAGTTTAAATGGCTCAGAGCCACTTAACCCCCTGGTTTCTGCTCCCTGTTGCTCAGTTGGTGTGTTTTTTTGTAGGGAGCAGAAAGCAGGGGTTTAAATGGCTGCCACTGAAGACAGCAATTGCACACTTAGCTTTCCCTTTCTCTGTGATGTTTAACAGAACTTTACAGAGTTAATGTCACAACATTCTGCATTCCTGGCCCCTGCTCCATATCACTGACTGTCATTGGTGGAGGGCAAGAAATTGCAAAACACTGTGGTGTCGTGGCACAGCCAAGTTCCATTTTCAGCCACCACCATGTGCCATGTCCACATATTACGTCTGCCTTGGGCTTGTGTGCTCATTTAAAACAAAAGTTGTTCAAACTGTCTAGGATAGTTTTCAATTTATTTATAGTATTAGAAAGAGAAAATGTTGTGTTAACTGCCATGAAGTCACTTCTGACTTGTGAAGAAAATGTTAGAGGCTTTTTATTTATGCTATAGGGGTAGAAAACTGAACTTGAATTAAAATAAATGTTTACTAAACATTAACAGGCTACAACCCACACTTCTGCATCTGTCTGTTGATGCCTTCACAAAATGGCTCATGTCGCTTGAAGAATTACATCACCTTTATGTAGGTCTTTGAAATGAGATTATTATTCTGCATAAAATAGTACCTTTCCTGAAAAGGACTGGAGCAAATGAACCATGGGTTTCACTGGATTTGTTGCTCATTTCTTGAAATGTGGCTTTCTCTGTAATAGACTGAATTGTCTCATCAGGCAAGGAAAACTCATAAAACTCAGCTATTTGTTTCACTCCTTCATAAAGGTTCTATAAAATAACAACACAGTAAATTAGTTATTATTTCATAAATTGCCACATCTTTGTGCAACTTATTAAATATTAAACTTCCCTAAAACCTAAGGATAAGGAAGGCACAATAAAGGTAGGCTGCATAACCTTAGGTCAATAGGTGCATCATATATACATCGGTAGATGAGTTCTCATCACAAAAATGTTTGATTGCCAAGCATCAACATTTAACTTTTTATGCATTTCTGCAACTTATATTTACTGAAATTCAAGTATTTTCTATTTCATGCAGCCCAAAATTTACATTTCCACAGGGTAGGATACAGAGCTCCATCACTGGAAGGCACTGGCAAATATGTACCTTTGCTACCTTCCTCTCCCCTGAGCAGTCCCTCCTGATCCAGAAAAGTATTCCCAGACGTGTAGAACTGATGACTAATTAGCTATGGAGATTGGGGGTGGTAGGGGGGAGAAATTGCCCCAGACAAAAAGAGCCCTATGCTTAAGAAAGTAGGAGGAGACAATAATTTTGCCCTTTTCTACATCCTCACTGGCTATTAGTGCACATGGTTCTTGTGACCCCAAAAAACCACTTCTTCCCAGGGTCAGAAGCGTCTGAATCACATGACTCAACCACATGGGCCAAATTCATGATCCACAAAAAAATTCCTTCTATGTAAAAAATGTTTTTTTTTAAACTGGAAGATTTTGCAGCACCAATACTAGCAAGTTTAAATATACCTAAAGTCCCATATAAAGTTGTTATTACAAAAATTCATCCAAAATATAAATTAACATGGTGTCTTGAGATGAAAAAGTATATAACGAAACAATGATCTTATTGTTTTAATGTCAATCAATTACTGGATGATCGCGACTTTTATAATTACCCCTTCCCAAAGATAATAAAATAGTATTTTGCTTTAATCATGTATGAATAAGATCACAAGCTACAGAACTATGTAGAAGAAAATATCCATTAGGCATGTCTTCTTCAAACTTGGAATGCAAAATTATTTTGCAAGGATTGTTTACAAGTAGACCCTTGATGAGCTCATCTGATCAGAAAGCTAATTGGGTAAAATTGTTATTTGAGTTTATTAGAATGCTCACTTCTTTCATGTCTTCAAATGTGATGATCTTAATATTTTCATCATCTATGTGTTTGTCCCAAACAAGAGCATGGTCGAAATAGGACTTGAAACAAACTGAAATGAAACCAACATATGTCAAAAGCCAGAGAAAATTGCACTACTACAGTTGTTTCAGTTTATGGCATATGCTTAGCATATGATTCAAGGTTCATTTTCAGAACATGTAAAAATCAGTTAATATAAATGAATGTGATAACAACTGGATAGTGAAGGAAATAGTTGAATTCACCCTATATAAATCAGTTATACATTTGAATTCCATCTTGGCTATGATATATTGATTTTACATCACTGAAATCAACCTGTAAGCCTTTCAGTGCAATCCTACAGCACAATCCATTGAAGTCAATGGCCTCAGAAAGTGCTTAGTGTTGCACAGAATGAGAACATTCCTAAGCAGGTCTACTAAGAATCCTATTCAGATTTATTCAGTAGGGCTTACTCCCAGAGAAATATTCTTAAAATTGCATTATTAGAGGACAATCCTAAAGAGGTCTACACTGAAGTAAGCCCCATTTTATTTGATGGGTTTTATTCCCAGGAAAATATTCTTAGGATTGCTTTAATACACTCCACATTATAAGTAGTTGAAGATGGATATTTTATATTCTTCTAGAGATTATGGGAGCAATTCTCATCACAAAAATGTTTGATTGCCAAGCATCGACATTTAACTTTTTATGCATTTCTGCAACTTATATTTACTGAAATTCAAGTATTTTCTATTTCATGCAGCCCAAAATTTACATTTCCACAGGGTAGGATACAGAGCTCCATCACTGGAAGGCACTGGCAAATATGTACCTTTGCTACCTTCCTCTCCCCTGAGCAGTCCCTCCTGATCCAGAAAAGTATTCCCAGACGTGTAGAACTGATGACTAATTAGCTATGGAGATTGGGGGTGGTAGGGGGGAGAAATTGCCCCAGACAAAAAGAGCCCTATGCTTAAGAAAGTAGGAGGAGACAATAATTTTGCCCTTTTCTACATCCTCACTGCAGCCGCCCCCAGTTCACATGGCTATTAGTGCACATGGGTCTTGTGACCCCCCAAAACCACTTCTTCCCAGGGTCAGAAGAGTCTGAATCATATGACTCAACCACATGGGCCAAATTCATGATCCACTAAAAAATTCCTTCTATGTAAAAAATGTTTTTTTTTAAACTGGAAGATTTTGCAGCACCAATACTAGCAAGTTTAAATATACCTAAAGTCCCATATAAAGTTGTTATTACAAAAATTCATCCAAAATATAAATTAACATGATGTCTTGAGATGAAAAAGTATATAACGAAACAATGATCTTATTGTTTTAATGTCAATCAATTACTGGATGATCGCGACTTTTATAATTACCCCTTCCCAAAGATAATAAAATAGTATTTTGCTTTAATCATGTATGAATAAGATCACAAGCTACAGAACTATGTAGAAGAAAATATCCATTAGGCATGTCTTCTTCAAACTTGGAATGCAAAATTATTTTGCAAGGATTGTTTACAAGTAGACCCTTGATGAGCTCATCTGATCAGAAAGCTAATTGGGTAAAATTGTTATTTGAGTTTATTAGAATGCTCACTTCTTTCATGTCTTCAAATGTGATGATCTTAATATTTTCATCATCTATGTGTTTGTCCCAAACAAGAGCATGGTCGAAATAGGACTTGAAACAAACTGAAATGAAACCAACATATGTCAAAAGCCAGAGAAAATTGCACTACTACAGTTGTTTCAGTTTATGGCATATGCTTAGCATATGATTCAAGGTTCATTTTCAGAACATGTAAAAATCAGTTAATATAAATGAATGTGATAACAACTGGATAGTGAAGGAAATAGTTGAATTCACCCTATATAAATCAGTTATACATTTGAATTCCATCTTGGCTATGATATATTGATTTTATATCACTGAAATCAACCTGTAAGCCTTTCAGTGCAATCCTACAGCACAATCCATTGAAGTCAATGGGGTCAGAAAGTGCTTAGTGTTGCACAGTATGAGAACATTCCTAAGCCGGTCTACTAAGAATGATTTATTCAGTAGGGCTTACTCCCAGATAAATATTCTTAAAATTGCAGTATTAGAGGACAATCCTAAAGAGGTCTACACTGAAGTAAGCCCCATTTTATTTGATGGGTTTTATTCCCAGGAAAATATTCTTAGGATTGCTTTAATACACTCCACATTATAAGTAGTTGAAGATGGATATTTTATATTCTTCTAGAGATTATGGGAGCAATTTCACAATGCTATGCTAGTCCTTCTCAGGAATACAAACGTATACCAGATGCGTCACCAATAAAGTTATTACAAAAAGAGGAAGAAATGCCCTTTTACTATGTTCAGACCACTTTGAAGGGTGCTTTAATCATTCTGTTTTGATATTGGTGATCAAAAGTTGTTAGCCTTTTTGACCACTAGTATGATATGATTTGGTCTATAATTCCCCTACCCCAAAAATATATATACATACAAAACAGAATTATGCACACAATGACAGTTTGCATACTATTTTCCCCCACAGAAGTCCCCATTGCTGAACACAGATTCAGTCAAAGTTAAACACTTTGAGTTTGAAGTCCTATTGATTTCAGCTGAGAAGGTTTGGTTTTGTGCTTAATACTGCTGAAATCAAGATTTCCAAGCATTTAACTCTGACTGGATTGTGCCCACAAGATTTAGAATCTATGGCCCTGTTCATACGAGCTGTTTGGGCCGGGAGAAGGACGGATCGGGGCTGGAGCAAAAGGGCGCGATCCCACAGCAACATCTGGGGAACGTCGTGCTACCGTCCCCGATCCGTCCCATCCCGCCCATGAAGCGCACCAAAAAAGAACCGACTACCTGGGTGGTTCTTTCGAATTGGCCGCAGCAAGTGCGGCCGTGGGATCGCCGGCGCGTCCTTGCACCAGCGCATCCCCAGCTCCTGGCTGAACTACGCATGTGTGAGCATGCGCAGATCGCCAGCCTCCCCTTCCCACCGTTGCTCCCCTTCCCAACGGCGCCGCAGCTCGGGGGATCCGTGAGATCCCACCGTGCCGTCTTAACTTTGATGCGGCTCAGATTAGCGGCAGTTCGACCGTCCTTTTCCCTGCCGTGTGGCAGGGACCTATGTTGATTAAAAGTTATTAGCTGAAACAGTCCTGGTTGTGTGAACTAAACTGTGTGGGTAACTGTGACCCAGACTGATTAATCTTGAAATGAAAGACTGTCAAAATGTATGATGTTAAGTAGTGGGTTCAAGAGGCTATCATGATTTCAGCATAGCTCTTTATTTCAGTAACATTAAGAACAACAAAACACGCTGCGAGCCACAACTATATACAAAACACACCCAGTCCCAAACACACCCACAACTGATACAAATAAAACAATAAGAACATCGTAGCTAGGAGCCTTCATTTGCATGGCATGACTTACAGTTCTGTTACCTGATTGGCCTGCTCTGCAAGGGCGGCCAATCTGAATATAGCTGCTAGGAGCCTGTCTAACAATGCTTGTTCATTTGAAGCTCTGCCTACACAACATAAGAAAATTATTTAAAGTCAGTATGGGCTGCTTCCACAGGAGGAGCAAAAAACTGTGCCTCTGCTCTGATATCAGCAGTAAGCAGCATCAAGGCAGGCGGAGATACTGTCAACACAGTCACCCCTGCTGTCTGCCACCCTCCCCCTTTTCTTCCTTTGCATCTGTGCAGAAGGGCTGGCAATGACAACAACCTGCTTTTCCTCCTTCCATTGGGCTACAGTGCAAGTTAAACTGCAGCACAGCTGTGGAGGGGCGGGGGGGGGAATCAAAGAGCTGGTGGGAGAAAATGCTGAGATTAGCTTCTACGTTCCAGAGGTGGGGGCTGATCTCTGCCCTCCTGTCTGGGTTGGCTGCAAGATGGGTCACATGGATGCCACTCCTTGGTCATCTGAAATTGAGGTATTTCAAGACCTTCCATTGTGCCTAGCCTGAAGTGTCCTTATCTTCCCCATATTACATTCAAAACTGGACAGAATTCAGGAATAGACTGCTAGAGTTTCTAACAAAATATACCTTCACCACTCATGAACTTCTGAAAGAATTCATCCCATGAGGTGATATTTGGAAGCAGAGGATTCTTGTTGTAGAAATGGAAGTAGGATACAGCTGCATCTTTGGGATTCCGAAATACCACCAGTATCTGTTAAAACAAGAACATGTTGCATGTCCATGGTTTAATTCAACAGTAATATCCCAGATTATGTGAACCTGCTAATGCATCAAAATCTGTAACGGGATTCTCTTATTCCCCTTAAATGTTTTGGATTTTTCACAATTGCTCTGGGGAAATACGAGACTGCCACAACAAAGAGGCAAGAAGCTGAGTGGTGTGGACTTGTGTTCAAGTAACATTTCCTCCGAGACACCTTTTGCTTCATATTCAGGGTCCAAATCTGGGTCCAAAAAGAATTTTCCCCAGGAGACTACTGACTATGAGGAAGGAGGCAGGGAACAAAACCTGACTTCTTCAATATATTGTGGCTTAATTTCATGTGATAAAGTGCCAGTATACACATTACGGAGCTGCGGTGGCTCAAGTGGTTAAGACGCTGAACTGCAGGCTGTGGCAGGTTAGTAGTTCAGCAGTTCGAGACCCGGGTGCCGCATGATGGAGTGAGCTCCCGTCTCTAGTTCCAGCTCCTGCCAACCTAGCAGTTCGAAAGCAAGCAATTGCAAGTAGATAAATAGGTACCACTTCGGTGGGAAGGTAACAGCGTTCCGTGCGCCTTGGTGTTTAGTCATGCCGGCCACATGACCACGGAAACGTCTTCAGACAGCGCTGGCTCTTCGGCTTTGAAACGGGAATGAGCACCGCAACCCTAGAGTCGGATTTGACTGGCTTTCGAGCAAGGGAACCTTTAGCTTTACCTTTATACACATTACAGCCCTGACCTGGATAGCCCAGGCAAGCTCGATCTTTTCAGATCTCGGAAGCTAAGCAGGGCCGACCCTGGCAAGTAACTAGAAGGGAGACCTCCGAGGAATACCAGGGCTTGGGATGCAGAGGCAGACAATCAAGCCACATCTCTGAAACGCCCAAACCCCACTAGGGGTCACCAGAAGTCACCATGACTTCAAGGCGTGCGCACACACAAAACCCGCCAAATATGTATCTACACACACATTACACAGCCCACATGGTGGACATGTGAACTGTCAACAGACATGCTATGTGTGGTCTGCGTCTATGCTAGGAACTTAATTCCTAGGTATGCATGGACCTGATTTGGATCAGGTCCACCTGTGAGGTGAAGGGACTTCAGCATTCTCCCCATACTGTCTCCCTCACCCCAAAATACCCCCAAAATAAGGTTGCCAACTCTGGATTGAGAAATATCTGGATATTTGGAGTGCAGCCTGGGCTGGGCAGGGCTGACAGAGCAGAGGGACCTCAGCAGGGTCTAATGCTATAGTATCCATCCTCCAAAGCAGTCATTTTCTCCAGAAGAATGGATCTATGTTGTCTGGAGATCAATTGTAATGCCAGAAGAGCTCCAGGCCCCACCTGGAGGCTGGCAACCACACTGCAGGGAACCACTATTTGCTGGTAGAGTGAACTTTTTAATGTTTTTATGTGGATTTTATGGTACCTTGTACTGACTAATGTAAGCCGCCCTGAGCCTGTTCGCGGGGAGGGCAGGATATAAATGGAATGAATGAATAAATAAATAAATAAACTTGCATGTACTGATGACTATATGTAATTTTCCACTAAGAAGGCAAATACCAGCTTCTTGGGGCTGTTTCAGGTCAGGAAAATGGCACGGCAGGAAGAATGAAGTTGTCCTGCACTCTGCATGCAAGCCCAGTCAGGTGACCTCAGGGATAGTGCCCTCAGGCCTAGACAGCAAGACTTGGAGGGCACTGACAGGAGCTGGCAGCCAGGAGCAGGAACTGGAGTCTAGAAGTTAGAACACAGACTTGGGCCTAGTGGACCAGTTGATGCAGCCTTCCCAAGCCTCAGCCTAAATAGGCTGGGAGGTTACCAGTATCAGCTGCACTGCTGGACGGTGTTGTGCTCCTGCAGTTGTTACGTGCATTGGCCTGGATCCAGTGAAGAAGGACGATCCTCAGCCGTCTGCTCTAGATCTAAAGGAAGGTTATGTACAGCCAGTCAGGCACTTCACCTCCTTTTTGCTGCCTCAGCCTGGACTTTCCACTGCTGCCATATTCCTGCAGAGCAGGAGAGGCCTCTGAGGGGCTGCAGGCCCAGGTTAGAGTCCTGCTTGGTGGAGTCCTATAACAGCTGACTCAAGGCCAGGTGAGGGGAGGCTTCCCATGCAGGATCTGGCAGTGTGGCTTCTGGTGCTGCTGGTATGTCTTCAGCAGGTGCTGGTACATTCCTGGCAGGCACCTTTGCCATGCTGGGCCCTCCATGGTCTCTCAGGTCCTGTGCTCCTCAGGTTCCTTCCCTGAGGACTGTGAGTTGGATTTGCTGGGTCAGTTGGAGGGGTTCTTGATAGAAACCTCTTCTCACACCATGCAGTCCTGATCTGAATTCTCACATCATGCACATCTGTAAAGGAATTTTCCAGTGTGGACCACTGACAGCAATATGACTCTTAAGTCCACATGGTGAACACATTTCTTTCATGTGGACTGTGTAATTGACCCAGTGATATGGTAGACAGCCAGTCTGAGAGCACCTCAATTCCAGAGGCATTGTCTGTGCAGAGATGACATGAAAGGAAACACCACTCCCACTAGCTCTACTGAATTTACAAGAGGTGCAACTTTTGCAGAAGTTATATTATGAGCAATGTTCCCTCTAAGATATAGAGTCCTGTGAGCAAAAACTCTACTTTGTCAGCTCCTGGCATTAAAGTTGTGAGCAGGTGATTTGGCTACTGCATAAATTAGTTTGTTCTGGAGCCATCCTTCCTGAGTAGAGACAGAAATGTGTGAGCCGGAGGCTAAAAAACTGTGAGCTAGCTCACACTAACTCAGCTTAGAGGGAACACTGATTATGAGATCTGCATTATTTCAATATCTGATGTTTCCAATTACTGCTATGAGGTAATATTACTATACAATAAGAGTAGTAATAAAATGGTTACTTACTTTTGTCTTTTTCTCAAAGAAAGACTTGGGGAGGTTATCATGAAGGAGGTGAGTAACAAAAACACGTGGCGAGGGATCGTTTTTTAAGTTCTAAAATGAAATTTATATCAAATTAATGTAACTGTTGTAATTTTAAGACTCTTGCATCAGGGGACATTTCCACACACAGGCATGAAAGCACTGCTGTTAGTGTAACAGATCTATGGGATCCAACCCATAGTTTTCTTCAGTGACAGAAATACGTAAGTGTTAATGGCGACATTTTCCTTGTTAATTTGGGAATGACAACAAATAGTATTATTACTAATACAGGAAGTGGCATTAATACGACAAAAAAGGGCATTAGTTTTTGCTTTCTTCTCACATCAATACATTTGCAAATATACTGACCCAAAACACCTCAGTCCTTCAATTAATTTTATTTGTTTGTGATGCTAGGACTTCAATGTCCAAATAGAGTTTCTGTGTCTGCTAGAACTGCATCATTTACTCCCAATGGGCAAAAGCTTTGAAAATGAGGAGTGAATCCTCACTGAAATTTCCCAGCACAAGATGGACCCAGCAGTTCAGTATGCCTCTGTTTCCTCCTGACTTGAGTTATCTGTGAGCATGAGAAGTAGCTGTCATAGATCAGAGCAGAAGGGGGGTGACATTTATGGGGACTGACCTTTATTTGTGTGCAGGGGTCATTTCATAGAAAAAGAGGTGCAAGAGCTCATTAGCATAGCTCGTTAGCATAACTTATTTGCATATGCCACACCCCCTGACATCACCGGAAGTGTGTCAGAAGGCAACACCCACTGCTCAGGCTTCACTGGATTGTTTTGGATTGCTAGCTATTGAGGGGGGGGGATGTGCAGATCTGTCCTCGCAGAGGAAGGAGAGCTTGTACCTGAATAAAACTTGGTCTTAAAGGTGCCACTAAACTGTTTTGGAATTGCTAGCTATTGGGGGGGGGATGTTCAGATCTGCCCTCACAGAGGAGATTGTAACTGAAGGTGGGCTGGGGGAGGGGGCTCTGCAACTTACCTAGCTGCTTCTTGCTCCTCGTGGCCCGACTGAGGGCTGCTGGGAGCAGGGGGAGGGGCTTGTTGCATGTGCCTGCCCCCTGGGCTCCTTACTGCCAAAGCTCCGCTCCTGTGCGCTCCCGCAGGAAATTACCCCTGTTTGTGTGGCACCAAGGCTGGGAAAAACCTCATCCTGCTGGATAGATATGGTTTCACATCCAGAAGTGAAAACATGGCCTCTCTTTGATATGTTCCTGCCTCTCCATTGGATGGATAGGTTTTGGTGGGCAAATGCTGTCAGACCCCAAGACTCAGATTGGTTAAGAAGACTTTATAACCCATGTGGAAGGGAGAACAGAAAAGGACCTGTTCTTCTGTCCATGCACGTGAGACTGTGGGAGAAGGACAGCATCCTCTTTATGCATATACCCATTTGACTCTCCCACAGAAGGAGGAGAGGAGATTGGATTTATACCCCGCCCTTCACTACCCAAAGGAGTCTCAAGAGCAACTTACGAACTCCTTTCCCTTCCCCTCCCCACAACAGACACCCTGTGAGGTAGGTGGGGCTGAGAGAGCTCTGACAGAAACTGCTCTTTTTCAAGAACAGCTGTGCCAGAACTATAGCTTGTTCAAGGTCATCCAGCAGGTGCAAGTGGAGGAGTGGGGAATCAAACCCGGTTCTCCCAGATTAGAGTCCGTGCACTTAACCACTACACCAAACAGGGAGGGGAGATCAAATGCTCAGGATCTGTAAATTCCAAGTACATTAGTAATCTTTCCCTGTTTGATTTATCTTATTATTCTGCACCCTAGCCCTATAATGTGTATTTAATCTAGAGTTTTGCCAGTAGAATAAAGCTTTTTAGTTAAGAGAAAGTGATTGCCTTGGTTCCAACCTACAAGCCTCACTGTGGCTCAAGTTACAAAAGCAGCACCAAAGTGAACAGTAGGACTTTTACAAGAGGGGACAGATATAACCAGGATGCCAAATGACCAAATTGGTCAGGAGGATAGGGATCAGGAGGTGATAGCAATCTATCAGAGGTAAAGGCTCTTGTTAAATGGTGGGTTCAATGGATGAATAGACCACAAGCCTAGTGATCAGTTCTACTTTATTAGTGATTTCAGCAAGCGCCAGACAAGACCCCAGAGACTCAGCTCTGTTAAATAGCATGGAATTGCCACACCCAAACACACTCCACTCCCAGTGATAGGCTGTTTACATAACATTACTACTAGATTGGTTACTTCCAGAATCCTGGCAGGGTATTGTTCTTTCGCTCCAAGCTCAGCCAGTCTCCGGGGTGATTCAATCAGGGATGATTCAATTCCAGTACATAACACCTCTGAACCCCACTTAAGAGGCGGCTGGAGAGCACAGAGGGATTCCTGATGTTCCCAGTTCTTTTGCTGAGACAGAGAATCAAGATTGGTTCTGGCTGGCGGAAGCGGTGGTTCTGCCTCCTAGCCTGATCATTGAATTGTCAGGGTAGATGGCTAGGTTGACTCAGTGGCTTATACTGGCCATAGGCTAGTCAGTGTTTCTGTGCTCTGTGATACATTCTTGCAAAGTGAACCCTGTTAAGAGTATGAGAGTTTACCTCAAAAAGCACTGAAGCCCAGCTTTCCACTGATATGGAAGTTGTGCCAGATTGAGGTTGAAATGGTTTGTAGGAAAGGAGGTTGTCACATGCTGTTCCTCAGTGTCAAGTTACAAAAACAGTGGTGTATTTATAATCAAGCTCCCCAAACAGTATATCTAATATTATCATAAAAGGGAAGGAGAAATTTTGGTAGGGGTTCAAGCCCATCCCCAAGTTACATTCATGCTTCAGAGAGCACCAATTAAAGGAATATATTCAGTATGAAAGAATTCTGGCTAGGCCACATGTAGTTGCTGCGGTATTACCACTATGACTAAATCCTCCTTAAATGCTCATAAAGGAATAGTGCTATCCCTAGGCACAGTTACACTTTTCTAAGCCCACTGATTTAGGAACGATTGCATTTTAAGTGGCTGCTACCAGGTTAAAGAGTAGTAGGAATATTACGAGAGGGGAGAGATATAACCAGGGTGCCAAGTGACCACTCTACCAGATTCCAATCTCTAACCACCCTTTCTGCTGAAGGAACTTGGCCAAGAGAACTAAGGCTTGAGACAAGATTACAGAGAAAGATCAAGGTGGTTCTACTTTCTCATACTTGCCATAACATCTTGCTTGTAAGTGACTGACTATATTTTTCATGGCTGCATAAGATCCATGGTAGTAGTTGCCAGAAGTAAGAATTAGAAGAATCAGAAGAAAATGCAGTATGGAATCAAGGGAGCATAGCTTCTGTCAACATGTGTGGGTTGTCAAGAAAAGTCTAGGCTAGCTCATTGGCAACCAAGTTAGACAATTTAGTAACAGTTTGAACATTTTAAATTTCTAACTCTCTGTGACAATCTGTAATTATATATATTGTGTGTTTGTATGACGGTAGATTAGAATTGGTTCCAGAGTTCAAGGAATCTAACTGTTTAAATGTTTGTACAGTCACACAGTGTACCTGTAAAGTGTCATATTACTGTGTGGAATATTGTAAACTAAACACATTTACAGTGCAGTCCTATGCACAGTTACTGTAGTCCCTCACTGAAATTGATGGGCTTAAATTGGAGTAACTCTGCATAGGATTGCACTGTAAAACACTGATTGTTTCCTAAACTAACTTTATGAATTCATACTGACATGAACTTTTTCTGGGGGTCCAAATTCAAGCATTTGGAAGCGGCCAGGTAGTGGTGGTAAATCCTTGTTGTCCTGAGTAGCAGCTACCATTTCATTCAGAATATGTAGCATCCAGTTAGTGCCTGCAACAGAAAAGAGAATGGAGTCACAGGGAAATTCCAGGGACAGTAAGCCACTGAACTCAGCACATATTTACATGAAATGCATAGGCTTTAAGCATGCCTAACTCTGTCTGGACCTGTGGCTACAGGCATAAAAATAACTACTACTTTCTTATAGGGTTCCCAGCCTCCAGGTGGGACCTGAAGATCTCCTGGATTTACAACTGATCTCCAAGTGACAGAGATCAGTTCCCCCAGAGAAAATGGCCGCTTTCAAAGATGGACTCTATGGCATTATACCTTGCTGAGGTCCATCTGTTCCCCATCCCCCATCCTTTCCAGGTTCCAGTCCCAAATGTCCAGGAATTTCCCAACCCAGAGTTGGCAACCCAGTCATACCCTTGAAGGAAATGGCAGCTTCAAAGGGCAGACTGTAGAGTCTACCATAGAGTATGGGAGAAAAGGAACTCCTGCCAAGGCTCCACACTCCAATCTCCAGGAATTTCCCCTGACTTGGCAACTCAGTCTTTCAAAACTTTAGTAGACATTTGCCAGGAACAAGACAGGTCATTATCCCAGCAGCTTCTAAAGCTAAAACATCCTCCCATAGGGTTGCCAGGTCTTACCTCCTCACTGGCGGAGGGTGAGAGGGAGCTCTCTGGGAGTGGGGGACAGGTGATGTCACCATGCACGACATCCCCAACGTGATGACATCATGCTAAAGTGACATCTTACCAGAGGTCAATTCGGGGGGATTGCGGGGCAGTTCCCCCGGGTGAGGTGTGGGGGGCGGGGCACACGATGAATCCCCGCCCCCTGCTTCTGGCCGCTCCGCTTCCGGCCCTCATTCAGCCAGGAGGAGGCAGGAGAAGAGGGAGGGTAAGTTGCTTCCTCCCCGCCTCTCCCCACCCCTGCCTGCCTGGGGCCAGGGAGGGCCTTGGCGGGGCTTCCTTGCACTCCCACACCTTTAAGACTAACAAATAGCACCTTTGACTTCCGGTTTTGGCGGCACGAATGGCGGTCGCACTCTCGGGACGCTCCTGGAGTTGACTCGCCCACGCGCGGCGGGGGGGAGATCCGCATAAGCGGAGATCCGAAGTAGCCTTAGTCAAAGGCTCCGAACTGGGGCGCGCCGGGGTAGTGCCTCTTTACCAGCCCAACTGATTGGAAATTGAGGCTCACCCCATGCCCCAAAGGACCCCGCCGCGGCAGTGCCCCGAATGGGGACTAGCAACGCCACCGGACTTCGCAGAGTGATGAAACGAATGAACGTTTGAAAGTGAAAGTGAACAGCTGCAAACTGTGAGTTGCCGATCGAAAGCATTAAAAGATACAAGCGCATCTCCCCCTCTTATCGAACAAGCGCTGGAGGGAGGATGGTGGAAGCCCCCCCTTTTTGATAAGACTGGGACTGTAAGCAGAGTAAGGGGGGAGTGAAATTGCAAGCAGTGAAGTTACCTTTTGGGAAGTTTGTTAAAGTGAAGAAAAGGGATTTTTTCCCAAGCAGTGTGGCACGGACTTTAAAAAAGTAAACAAACAGCCAAGATGTCGGGGGCTAAAAAAGACAAGGAGAAGGAGAAGGAAAAGCAAGCGAAGAAGCTAACAGTCACTTCCGGTCCTGGTTCCCGCCTCTCCGGTATGGCTGTCAATCAGCCAGAAAGTGAGATGCTTCGCCCTCTGCTGGAACAGATGCAGAAAATCAGCCAAACTTTGGTAAGCATGGAAAGTGTTCTCAGCAGTCAACAGATGCAGTTAACAGATACTGCCAAGAAAATGGAGGAGATTGCAAAGAAATGTCTGGATTCAATGGAAGATACGCAGAAAATCAAGAAGGTCAGTAAAATGGAAAGAAAGCAAGAAATGCAAGACAACAAATTACTGATGTTACAAATGGAAAAATCTAATTTGACTCTCCGGTTACAAGGAATTCAAGAAGCAGAAAAAGAGGATCTCAGAAGCATATTAACAGAAGCGTTGGCACCACTGATGGGCAGTGAAGCGGATAAATTAAGCGAAGAAATGGATCTGATATACAGATCCTATTCTAACTTTACAAAGAAAAATAATCTGCCAGCTGAAGTGGTTGTCAAATTTACTAAACAACATGTCAGAGATCAGATTTTGTAAGCGACATCAGCAACACCCTTGAAGATTGGACAGCAAGCTATAAGGATTTTAAAAGATGTACCATTTGAAATTCGACAGAAGCAGAAGGCATATAAAGGACTGACCACATTCTTGCAAAATCGTCAAATCAATTACAGCTGGTTGATTCCAGAAGGACTGGTCTTTAAGTTTAAAGACAAGAGAGAGAAGATTGACTCCATTTTCAAAGCAGAAGAATTTTTGAAGAGACACGCCAGCTCAGAGGAAGAAGCAGAACTTGCTAAGTGGAAAGTCTTGAGTAGTGACGAGGACAGCAACCCGGAGGGAGGAGACGGAGAACCGGAAGAAAAAGGAGCGGTGGGTGGTGTCTCCTATAACTTGAGAGAGAGAAAAGGCAGATGCCCCAATGTGTGAAGAGCTTTTGAGTGTGCTGCAAAGGACAATACTATACTAACCCAAAAGGACTTTACTAATCTAATTAATTTTTTAAAATCTTTGACAGGTAAAGAAGCAAGAAGATAGACTACTCACGGTTGAAGCTATGGACTGTACTAATACTGATAAAAGATTAATATACTAATTTACTCATCACTCACCACTTTTCTTAATCCCTCTATATACCCTCCCTTTTTTCTGAAAAATTTAAAGCAATAAAGTCCTCTCCTTTTGAGGAGATTTTATATAAAAAAATGTCTGCTGACCGCCACCAGGGGCCAGCAAATACCCCAGAGTTTGACTCTGCAGGAACAATGGGGACTAGGCTCCTAGTCTCTCCACTGGGGAACCAATAGGACCGTGGCGGGAGATTTAAACCCACCAACGGGACCTAGGGGAGTGTCCCCAGGTGTGTATATAGTTGACCAGCCGGCCGTTAGTTTTTGTCTTTGTTGTATACCAGTAAACCATGCTGATCACTGTTGGTCTGAAGCAACAGAACGAAGTTGGAGTCCAGTGGCACCTTTAATACCAACAAAGTTTTATTCTGAGTATAAACTTTCATGTGCAAGCACACTTCCTCAGATACACTGAACCAGAGTTCACCAACCATACATATGGGGGGTTAGTCACAAGGAAGGGCTAATTTGGGTGAAATTCATTGTAGAAATAAACAGCCTAAGAAAGCATACAGCACAGAAGAAAGCAGAAAATACTTCTTCTGAAAGGGATGTGCGGTGTCTGCTGCCTAACAAACTCACTTGCATGAACACTAAAACAAACAACCTGAAAACATGTTGGAAAG